GTTTCTATAATGTACGTCGATGGTTGCTCAATTAAAACTGACTTCTTCTCACTCACTCATTTGTGTCCTTTTTTGTGGTGAGCTACAGTGTCATTGACACTTTCATTACAGCTAGTCCCGAGAGCCACATGTTTGCTGACGTAACGGCTGCGCTCTCAGATGTAATTGGTGGGGCAGAATACTTGCAGCAGCATGTGTACACACCATATTACTACCATCTAGACCTGGAGTGCATCCTCAATGGTGAACACTCACCGATATCCTGCAAGCAAGTCGGTTTAAAATCGTGGGACCTCGATACGCATCTAAAAGAAGCACTGCCAGCCGACGCACAGAGGTATCAGTAGAGGCATGTGGCTATCGTTGTAGCTAGGCTGCCCATGTTCAGAAGAGTACATGCATCTATTTGAGATAGATTTTGTTTCGAATATTAGAGGGGGCGGCACAATTACATTGTTTTAAAACAGACTCACAATTTGTTGAGGTTGTACAGTGATAATTTAATTTGTATTCTGAGAATACATGAAATATGTTCCAAAGATGCTGCATATCTGCAGCAGTCATTCTATAGTTATGGGGTGTTAGCTAGCATGTAGGGAAATCTTCACGTAGTTTTCTCATGCATGACAGGCATATTGCAGTATAATTAATCTATGCTGTTTTGTCGTGGTCACAGGTTAGCAATATGCATTCATCCCCCGCACTCGTTCTGCATCAACGTTAGGGTTCTGCTTGGAGGAGAGGTAGTGAGGACGAGACATCTCGAGATAATGGGCTATAAGGTTGTGCACATACCTCACTTTGAATGGAACTCAATGCACCTCAGTGACCAGGCAGCAAAGATGAACTACTTGCACAACAAGATATTTTCGTGACATCCAGGAGATATATTACGGTTCATTGTTTTGAAAATTTTGCAAGCTATAACAGAATGGCAACATGATTGGCAAAACCTCGATCATCATCATTCACATACACTGCAATCTCTTTTTTTAATGCAGAGTAATTCCTTAGGTAAAAGCAGTATTGATAGTACTATTTTGCACCAAACACTTTAGATGTCTTGAAATTATTCATCTGGGTTAAACGTATCTGTTTGCAACTAATGTAAAAATGCAATCATAACATATGGTGCTTAATTAATGACCATAATCCTAATCTAGGAAGTTTTGTAGATTTTAAATGTTAAATCATGAGAATACAGTATTAATCATTGTGTTTTGTATAATGTAAAGATTAAATCTTGTTTTTTTAATGAAATTACTGTTGTGGGTATGTGTCTAATATTTTGATAATGACTTAATTACATATGAAGTTGTTTTCTACACAGACAATGTAACACTATAAATGCTAGGCAGAAAAACTAGTTAATTTTATTTGACAACTGTACACTGATATGATACAGAAATTTAGAAATATTTGCTGCAAATTTCAATTTGTCACCTTATATCTCACAGGCAAGATTTTTTCCACACAAACGTTGATGATGGGAATTGTGAAGATTGTTAAAAGAATGATTTTAGTTAAAAGAAACTAAATTATTATTGCGCAGATTGCTGGTAAATACCTCAAATTTGCACATTTAATTTAATTATCTAGCCACTTTAAAATTAATATTTACTAGTCGTCGCTTTAAAATTTGACACTTGTTTTGCCTTAACGCGTGCGCATTACGGGGTTCCGTTTCGAAGTCAACTTTGTGTGTTTAGCTATTGCATGTACTTTTAACTTGGCGGCGTATTTATCATTTATGTTGTGTTCACGTTTTGAAACAAAATGCCGCCTCCGAAACAGCGAAAGATCGCTCTAATGGGGTTTAGATCAGTCGGTAGGTCTCGTTCTTTTATAGCGTTTTCTAAACACGTTCGCTTGAAGTTTCATGCGTTCACAGTTCGTTTGTTGTTACCGTTGCGTGACGCATCCAATCAATTTATTGCTGCACTGGTAATATCATGGTGCAAATTTTCGTGCAACACGGTTTACTATCTAGCAACCCAAATTGTAATCCGCGTACATTACAAAATCTGTATGTGTATAAATACGTTGTGTTAGGCTAATATAGCGTGGTTAGGAGGCTGACGGGCTTACAAAAATACAATAACATTTGTGTATACATGTGCACTTATTTTGATCTTACAGTTACATCGGCTCAAATTATCATGTGCCACGAAAGTACGTGGCGCTATCATATGTAAGCTATCTTTGCCGATGACTGCTTACTGACTTTTACTTTTTATTTTTAATGATGAATGAATGGTTCGGGCAGAGAACATTGCATTGCAACCAAACTGCTAGAACTTTTGCAATTTCTACAGAGCAGGAGCAGAGCACCTGGGCAAGAGAATATCACCAATTAAAATGCCATCATGTAAAATTATACCAGGCGTAATACTAATAGCAGTACCGACACGTATATTACATCGAAGATTGGCAGAGCTAATTGTATTTGCGGCTAATACACCAGGGCGATACGGATGATGTGAACCAAGCATCACTTGGAAAGCTAACAACACCAGACGTTTCTTCACACCTAACATCAGTAGCCCCCGTGCTGAGCTTTGCTGAACTTTGTAATAAATGTGTATACTAAAGTAATTGGAGTACTTTGTCTGGGATCTGTTAAATCGGACCAAGAATTAGCAGGTCAAGGTGGTTCAGTGACAAGCTACACTAAATGTCTGTTAATGAAATGTGCTATTGCAGGTAGCTCTAGTACTATAGCCTGCGTACATTGACTGTCGCAGGGCTATAGAACATTGTCGGCTGGATTTTGCAGCAACACCGGGTCCCGACAGGTTCCACTCAAAATGGCTCACAAAACGGAAAATGATCGGGCTTTTTAACACTTATTTATCTACATGGACATCTCACCTATCTTTTTGAACCCTTTCCACAACTTTACACCATGTATTTATTCTTTTATTAGTCAAAGTCAGCACTACTGGCATTCCCGTTTCAAATATTCTGGCGTGCGAACGCATGATGTCACCGGTATTGTACGATAGATGCACCATAGCTGCCATGTTTTTTGCTTACATATCCGGTGACGTCACGCGTTCGCACGCCAGAATATTTGAAACGGGAATGCCAGTAGTGCTGACTTTGAGTAATAAAAAGATAAATACATGGTGTAAAGTTGTGGAAAGGGTTCAAAAAGATAAGTGAGATGTCCATGTAGATAAATAAGTGTTAAAAAGCCCGATCATTTTCCGTTTTGTCTGTGAGCCATTTTGAGCTTGCCGAAACCTGGTGGACCC